ATTGAGATTTTAACCAAGGAAACGGAACGTGTCAGCAGGGGTGAGCTGGGAGTCGCGAGTCAATCGCGTCATATCCGCTTACCTCGGTTTCCGCTCTTACTACGTGTAGTCCTGGACAAATGCGGTAGTTGTAGTTGTGCGTTAGCGTCTATCAAACGACAGCTTGTTTCGCGCATTTGTTATGGAATGGAGCACGTATATTCTTTTCATTTATTCTCGGAATGTGAACTGTTGGCTGTAAAGGGGGTCGCACACCGGACGAGAAGCGCCGCGCCACATTAGGACAACTCCGCAGTAACGTTATCGAACACCGGACGCGCACTTTCTCATCAGTGCATGGCCAGCATATTGTTATGTTTAATGACAGAAAATGAAGATAATGTCTGTTCTATGTTATTGTACTGTACAATTAAGAAAACTTTACCTCAGAGAATCCATTCACAGAATGAATTGAGAATCTCACCTGAAAAATCTAATAATAATCAGTAATTGTCATTCAAGCAGCTGATTTCTGTAAATCACTGCAAAACTAAATGCATATTGCAGCATAGGGCAAAGTCAGGATCCATTAGCAACGGTTTGAGGCAAAAATAATTAAAATTTTATATAAAACTATGTAAATGGCGCTCTGTGGCGTAGCAGGGTTTTGAACACGGTCCTGAAACGTTGCTGGGCGCCGCGGACAGACGCCGAATGGCGCCGCCGGTATGTGTACACTTATAGATAGCCTAATAACGCGGCGCTGCAGCTTCTCGTCCGGTGTGCGACCCCCTTAACGTTAATTTTGTGAAACTGTAGCTGTGGTTGAATACTTACACGACATGAAAAGATGTGTCAAATGTACATTGCAGACATCCCAAGTCTCCCGGAAGTTCCGGGAGTCTCCCGCATATTGATAGCGTTTCCCTGATGCCCGCAAATTAGTTCAAATCTCCCGGGATATAATGTTAGAGCGAGACATACTGCGCGCATAACATACAGCGCGCTGCGCGTGGACTGTACAGAGGGAGAGACTTTGCGAGTGTGCCTCGCGAACGCGAAAGTTAGCCTTCCCTCCCACCCCCACAATCTTGTTATCGAAATATACCTCCTGGAAATGAATTCTTGCAGGTTGGGATAACTGACATTAAATTGATTTTTTATTTTTATAAAGTTACCAAGGAGGACCAGCCACGTCAACTCCTTGCAAGAGACCTGCCCCTTCAAACCCTCTCCACCATAGCTTCGTCCAGTGACTCGTACAGTAACATCTGTGATAACTAATTTACTTTTAAACCTGACTTTTCTTGCGCGGTTATTTCAGTTTAATGAAAAACAAGCATGTCATTAAACGCAGCGTTTATAGAAATCGAACTTTACCTCATCCATGACAACTACTTTTCGATTCCCGTCTGACTGATTTATCCACGGTGGAGTTGAAAACAACAGTTCCCATCATTCCGCGTTCCTCCACGTCGTCATCAAGCAAAGCCATTGTTGTTGTTTTGAATGTAGCGCCCTCTAGCGGCATCTAAATCTTAGGTATTGCACCTTTAAGTCATTATTATGAGATGGTAAGTCATTATTACGAGAAAGTTTCTCATTATTACGAGAAAGTTTCTCATTATAATGAGATACTAAGTCATTATTATGAGAAACTTTTTCAATATAATGAGAAACTAAGTCATAATAATGAGAAAGTTTCTCATTATTTTAACTTACAGAATTATATTTTTTTACTCAACTGTGGCGGAAACGTGCTTCCATAGGGTTCAGAGTTTTTAGTCTCAGACTAAAGATTTTACAAACACTGAATCTTGTAGTGAAACTATTCATGAGACTACAACTAGATTATTTTAGCTTCCCACCAAATTCCTCCCATCATTCCGCATTTGCGTGAATGTGAAAGCAACACGGATTAGGGCGCGCACTTCTTCAGGAAGTAAAGTATCCTGTGCATGTGTCCTTATTGTGATGAATTCAGTTAAATAAAACACTTGTAAGGGATAGTGTTGATGATTTACCTTGGATAAGAGCGAGAGTGAGCCTGCAGTGTATTCGTGCATTGGAAGTAGAGCAACACATTTGGAAATCCCTGGCGCCTCAGAAGAGTACGTTTGCAAGCAACAGAAGTACACTTTATGTGACACGCACAGTAAACCTGTATTGTATACACTCAACTGCGCATAATAGCAGCAAATGAATAGAAAATATATATATATATCTGGCGGATGACCAGGCAGTACGACATATGGAATGTCACTGGGGTGGCTCCAGCCTATGACAGGGGGGAGACTCACCGGACAGTGGCGGCAGAGAAGACTCTGCCGAGGGATGACACAGGCTCACCGTAGGGAGCCGTATTGTGAAAGAGAACACATATGAGGTCACCGTAGGGACCGCAACATATGGACCCAGACTAACACAAGTTCTACTCTTGCTTACGAATGGTAGCCCTAACGCCCGACGTTCCGCACGTCCGATGTCGGAGGGGTGTGGAGGAACTAAACAGGGTTCGGTTTAAGGGAACTCAACTGGAGTAGAAGGTGCACATATCCAGTCCATTAGAGGGTAATGGCGCAGCAAGCTGACAATTGAACTGGGCTCATGGTGAACTGGCTTCAGGAGAAAGGAGCCCATGGAAGCAGCAGTTCAAACTAGGTGTTGCACAGCCCCCAACTCTAGAATCTGTCAGCAAAGCACTATGTCAACGCCCAGGCGGAGCACACACTCATTAAAGAGGAGCTCTATAACACCTAAGAGGACATGAGCATCTCAGAATTTTTTCACCGAATTGAAGGCAGCCACCATCAGTGGCCAACTTTGCTTGGAATTAGCCTTCTCTCTCTGCTGAATCTAACAGACAAGAGCTGGTCTGAGGTCTAAGGCTTGCAATCTGTACACGTCTAACTGCTATGAAGCGGACAGACAGAGAAAGCCAGGGCTGGGTCTGCCTCCTCCTGAGTAGCGCTTGCAGGCTCACCACCTGATCCTATTACGGAAGAGGTAGGAATGTGGGCACAATCCAGGCCGAGGTCTCAGCTTGTGAGAGAAGCCGGCATTAACTCCAGGCACAATTTGCTGACCGAAAGCGAGCAAGTCCCTACCCTCTAGTAGAGACCATGCTAACAGAAGAACTGTTTTCACAGAATTTTTAACTCATTGTCTGCAGTGGCTCAGGGGCAGTCTCTGCAGTGCAGTTGCACCAGAGATAAGGCCCAAAAGGATAAAGAGGGCCGCAATGACATTTTCCTTAGCTCCCCCAGGAACCTGATGATCAGGACATGCTTTCCATGCTTCTGCATCACGATGTGTGCCAAGACAGCGGCAAGATCATTTTGAGGGTGGATGAACAGCCTACTCCACCCAACTTGCAGGAAAGAGAGCACTGAAATGATCAAAAGCTTTCAGGATCTCTTTACGGAGAGAAGACTCACCCAATTAATAGGTTCCAATTCTAATGCGTTACCTCTTAAGGAGTGCTCGCAGAAGTGATGGTAACTACCACATGTAGGCCTGTCACGATAACAAATTTTGCTGGACAATAAATTATCCAAGAAATTATCCAAGAAAAAGAAAGTGAATATTTCCTGAAGCTTTGATATATTGTGTATTTCAGGTGTCCAGACAGAGACAACATTGTCAAATTTTGATGATACCACAAAAGTAGTTTCGCATACAGCTGTTGCGTCTTCCACACCCCTCAAGACTTCATCAAAGAGACCATGGGCCTCATGTATAAACGTTGCGTACGCACAAAATGGGCATAGAAATATGCGTACGCATTTTTCTACGCGCACATCGGGATTTATAAAAAATAAACTTGGCGTAAATAAGTGCGCACCGTAAGGATGCTCTTCACCGTGCGTACGCACTCTTTTAGAAGAGTATGGGTTTTGGCGACACCGATGGTGAGCTGGAGTCAAATGTCTTTTTGCTTACTATTAGACAGAGAATCTAAAGAAAATTATACATCTACAGAAAGATAATACAAATATAATTTCACAAACCTATCATCACTTGAAGCAAACATCCATCCCTTCTTAAATGACCGTGCCAGCACGCGCGTTGTGCCGTTTGGTGAAACTGATGCATATAGCCTATAATCTAACGGCAGATGTAGTAAAACCGTAAATCTTCATTATGAGTCCAAATCATAAATACAGTCCATATTCACAATAACAGTTTAAATAAATAAGAAAATGGTTTAAACTATGTTTTACTTTGATATAAACATTTAGATTAAATATGCCATTCTCATTAATGGAGTTAAACTCTAGGCTACATGCAATCATTACTGAGAAGTTACAATATATACAGAATATATATATATATATATATATATATATATATATATATTCAATAAATAGAAATAGACCGATTTGTTTTGGATGCATTGCTTTTGAACACTTTTTCTGGCATGCTGTGTTTTAATGTTTTAACTATAGATTGTCTGAGAAAACTGTTTCGTGCAAATAATGCACAACCATGTCTATCTCTTCCCTTAAAATCTCTTCCATTATCCATTATCCAAATAAATCAATTAAAAATACTATTTGGGCAGTGGAAAAGATTGAGAAAAACTTTCTCTGAAATGTATTTAACACTATTTGATTTATTCATTCAAAAACAAGGCAAGATAGGCTACTAAAAAAAATGTTTGTAATAATGTGACTGCACATCCGCATTTCATATTTTCCTAACGTCTTGTACCGTTAAACTTGGTATCACGTGGATGAATAATCATATGCAAATGATATGCAGATGAGGATATGCATAGTAAAACTAGGCGTTGTAATCTCCATATATGGTTATTTCGGGGAGGAGACGCACGTGCGCATAATCTCCCGCTGACTGGGATTTATAAAGTGAATTCTGCGCAGGTTCTGGCGTAGGAACGGTTTTATAAATCTGAAAACTTTTGTGCGTACGCAAATTCTGCCTTATGTGCGTACGCACACTTTAAGGATGAAATCTACGCAAAGTTTTATGCATGAGGCCCCATGTCTGGACCTTGAGGAAGATGAAGATATCCTACAGGAATGCTCTACAATAATAACTGCACAAGAGACTGATGTGATGTCACATTTAATCCTACAGAGGCTGAAACATCAACAACAGAGCAAAAAGACTTGTCGTAAGTTTTATATTATATTTTAGAATAATGTTTGTTTTTAATTATAGCATATCTAAATTTTATGTAGAGCTTATATAGATTGTTTTTTTCTTCAGGTCTCAAGCATCCAGCCCTATTCAGAAAATCTTTAAATATATTGTCTATGAGACATGTATCATGGAACTGTTTGAGATGTGCCCGGTATGTCATAGAAGCTGTCATACAAGATCACAAAGGATTGGAACTTTTCTACGTGTTGAACAACTCTGCCACCATTGTCAGTTCACACGTAAATGGAACAGTCAGCCGATTTTGGGCAGTACTCCAGCTGGAAACCTTCACCTTTCTGCTGCTGTGTATCTCAGTGGTGCTTCATTTGTGACAATTGAAAAGGTAATTGTAACATAAATAATGAATAGCTTTGTAGGTACATGAGACTAAACATTTACAATGTATAATTAGTATGTTTATTATTTTATAGTTTAACAGCTTTTCTCTATCTGTTGTCAGATATTTGCAGCTATGAAGTTACATCTTTTCAAGTACGACACCTTTCGTCGCTATGCACGAATGTGCATTGAGCCTGCTATTGTTCACAAATGGAGAAACTGGCAGGATGAGATGCTACAGCAGTTAGCTCAAAGGGAAAAGGTCATTGTTGGAGGAGATATGAGGGCTGACTCACCAGGGGCCTCATGTATAAACGTTGCGTACGCACAAAATGGGGATAGAAATATGCGTACGCATTTTTCCACGCGCACATCGGGATTTATAAAAAATAAACTTGGCGTAAATAAGTGCGCACCGTAAGGATGCTCTTGACCGTGCGTACGCACTCTTTTAGAAGATTATGGGTTTTGGCGACACCGATGGTGAGCTGGAGTCAAATGTCTTTTTGCGTACTATTAGACAGAGAATCTAAAGAAAATTATACATCTACAGAAAGATAATTCAAATATAATTTCACAAACCTATCATCACTTGAAGCAAACATCCATCCCTTCTTAAATGACCGTGCCAGCACGAGCGTTGAGCCGTTTGGTGAAACTAACTGACGCACATATAATATAGCCTATAATCTAACGGCAGATGGAGTAAAACCGTAAATCTTCATTATGAGTCCAAATCATAAATACAGTCCATATTCACAATAACAGTTTAAATAAATAAGAAAATGGTTTACACTATGTTTTACTTCTAATATAAACATTTAGATTAAATATGCCATTCTCATTAATGGAGTTAAACTCTACATGCAATCATTACTGAGAAGTTACAATATATACAGTATATATATATATATATATATTCAATAAATAGAAATATACCTATTTGTTGTGGATGCATTGCTTTTGAACACTTTTCTTCTGGCATGCTGTGTTTTAATGTTTTAACTATAGAGATTGTCTGAGAAAACTGTTTCGTGCAAATAATGCACAACCATGTCTATCTCTTTCCATTAAAATATAAATCAATTAAAAATACTATTTGGCCAGTGGAAAAGATTGAGAAAAACTTTCTCTGAAATGTATTTAACACTATTTGATTTATTCATTCAAAAACAAGGCAAGGATATAGGCTACTAAAAAAATGTTTGTAATAATGTGACGGCACATCCGCATTTCATATTTTCCTAACGTCTTGTACCGTTAAACTTGGTATCACGTGGATGAATAATCATATGCAAATGATATGCAGATGAGGATATGCATATTTAAACTAGGCGTTGTAATCTCCATATATGGTTATTTCGGGGAGGAGACGCACGTGCGCACAATCTCCCGCTGACTGGGATTTATAAAGTGAATTCTGTGCAGGTTCTGGCGTACGAACGGTTTTATAAATCTAAAAAACTTTTGTGCGTACGCAAATTCTGCCTTATGTGCGTACGCACACTTTAAGGATGAAATCTACGCAAAGTTTTATACATGAGGCCCCAGGTACATTGTGGGAAAAATTTACATTGTAAAAAAAAATGTCTTGTGTAGACAAGGCACATTGTGTAATAAGAGATTATGTATTTTTGTTTTTGAAGGGCACTCGGCAAAATATGGCAGTTACACAATGATGGATCTGGAAACAAACACCGTTGTTGATGTACAACTCGTCCAGGTAAATGAGCTGAAACCCTTGATGCAACGTCTTTGAAAACTTGTATACTTTAATTTTAAACGGGAAAAAAAATGTATTTTGATCACTTGTTAGAGTAATGAAGTGGGAGGAAGTTACCACATGGAAAAGGAAGGATTGACGAGAGGTCTTGACTTTTTGGATACTCGTGGTGTGACTCTGGACTGCATTGTGACTGACCGACATCCGCAAATACAAAAATTTCTCAGGGAACGCAAAGTCAACCAATTCTATGATGTCTGGCACATAGAGAAAGGTAAAAAAAAAACGTATTACAATACTATTGTCACGAAGTGGTTTTGTGTGTTTTCGTTATTAGTTATTGCCCGTCTATTATTTATCCCAGGTGGTTCTCATTTCTCACGCCCCCTTGTTATCTTGTCTAGCTCGTTTGTCCTTGATTATTTAAGCCTGTGTTTCTGCCCTGTCTTTGTTTGTTGTTTGAATTTATGTGTGTTACGTTGGTGCTCTCATGATTCTCGAGTCCTGCTTCTAGTCTTGTGTCTTGTTTCTAGTTTGTTAATAAAGCTACACTGCGTTTGGACCCAGCCTCAGCTCTGTTTCTCCGCACAGCGTCACAGAACAACCAACCTCAATATGGGTCCAGCAGTCGTCAGCAACCGGGCTATGATAGAATACCTGTCGTCAGTCTGGCAAGAGGGCCAGTCTGTCCAAATGTACGCGAAGGAGTTCCTGTCCATTAGCAGTCTGGGAGCGCTAGATGATATCCAGCTCATGGGCCTGTTTCTGAATGGGCTGGATTATGAGATCGCTCGATGGATGCCGCGGGACCTTGCCAGCTGGACTCTTGACGGGTATGTCGCTCGGGCTTGTTCCTTGCAGGACCTCTTCACTACTGCGCGCTTATTCTACTCGACACCTGCCGAGTGTACTTTACCCGCGAAGCCCTCGTCGTCTTCACCGCTGGTTCACGTCAGCCACGACGAGCCCGCGCTTCACGTGCGCATTAACGAGCCCGCGACTCACGTCAGCCCAGCCGAGCCCGCGACTCACGTCAGCCCAGCCGAGCCCGCGTTTCACGTCAGCCCAGCCGAACCCGCGATTCACGTGAGCCCCGCGAGGGAATCTCCTGTTCAAGTGAGTGAATCTTCAGTTCAAGTGAGTGATCCTGTTCAAGTGGATGAATCTCCGGTTCAAGTGGATGAATCTCCAGTTCAAGTGAGGGCTGAGTCTTCAGTTCAAGTGAGTGCCGAATCTTCAGTTCAAGTGAGCGAGTCTCCTGTTGAAGTGAGTGAATCTTCTGTTCAAGTGAGTGCTGAATTTCCTGTTCAAGTGAGTGAATCTCCTGTTGAAGTGAGTGAATCTTCAGTTCAGTTGAGCGCTGAGTCTTCTGTTCAAGTGAGCGCTGAATCTCCAGTTCAAGTGAGCGCTGAATCTCCAGTTCAAGTGAGCGCTGCATTTCCAGTTCAAGTGAGCGCTGCATTTCCAGTTCAAGTGAGCGCTGCATTTCCAGTTCAAGTGAGCGCTGCATCTCCAGTTCAAGTGAGCGCTGCATCTCCAGTTCAAGTGAGCGCTGCATCTCCAGTTCAAGTGAGCTGCATCTCCAGTTCAAGTGAGCGCTGCATCTCCAGTTCAAGTGAGCGCTGCATCTCCAGTTCAAGTGAGCGCTGCATCTCCAGTTCAAGTGAGTGAGTTGTCCAGCCCAGCGAGTGTGTCTAGCCCTGTGACGCGCCGCCGCAGGAGAAGGAGAAGGAGGACTCGCTCGATTCGCCAGGCCCTAGTGAGCGTACCCAGACTCCTCGCCCTGACGGCCCCGCCTCTGCGCCTCGCCCTGCCGGCCCCGCCTCTGCGCCTCGCCCTGCGGCCCCGCCTCTGCGCCTCGCCCTGCCGGCCCCGCCTCTGCGCCTTGCCCTGCCAGCCCCACCTCTGCGCCTCGCCCTGCCGGCCCCGCCTCTGCGCCTCGCCCTGCCTGTGCCCTGTGCTCTGTTCAAGCGGTGCCCTTCAAATCCCGGTGGATTTCCCCAAGTATTTTTTTTGGGGGGGGCAGTAGGTAGGGCCATGGAGGCGATGCAGACATGGACCTCGCCTCGTCCTGCTCCGCCCTGGCCTTCGCCCCGTCCTGCTCCGCCCTGGCCTCTGCCCCGTCCTGCTCCGCCCTGGCCTCTGCCTCGTCCTGCTCCGCCCTGGCCTCTGCCTCGTCCTGCTCCGCCCTGGCCTCTGCCTCGTCCTGCTCCGCCCTGGCCTCTGCCACATCCTGCTCCGCCCTGGCCTCCGCCTCGTCCTGCTCCGCCTTGGTCTCCGGCCCAGTCTGGTATGCCCATGCTCTGCGGCCCAGGCCCGCCTTGGCTACCTCCTGGTCCTGTTCCCCTGCACGGGCCTGGCCCTCCGTCCCTCCCCCAAGACTGTCTCCACTTCACCGCCCTCCTGAACTTTTTGTTGTTTGTATGGGCGTCGGGAGCCGCCCATAGGGGGGAGGCTATGTCACGAAGTGGTTTTGTGTGTTTTCGTTATTAGTTATTGCCCGTCTATTATTTATCCCAGGTGGTTCTCATTTCTCACGCCCCCTTGTTATCTTGTCTAGCTCGTTTGTCCTTGATTATTTAAGCCCTGTGTTTCTGCCCTGTCTTTGTTGGTTGTTTGAATTTATGTGTGTTACGTTGGTGCTCTCATGATTCTCGAGTCCTGCTTCTAGTCTTGTGTCTTGTTTCTAGTTTGTTAATAAAGCTACACTGCGTTTGGACCCAGCCTCAGCTCTGTTTCTCCGCACGACGTCACAACTATCATTTTCAAATTTTTTACAGACTAATAATTGTGATGAAAATATATTAGCGGATGATTATTTTTTTTGTGGAACATGTATATATATATATATATATATATATATATATCTGTGTGTGTGTGTGTGTGTGTGTGTGTGTGTGTGTGCATTCATATTATATAAACAACACCATTCCATTATTTGGAAATACACATTGCCCTACTTATTGTGAGTGTTGTCTTGTTTGAATGTTTTTGAAAACTCCAGGAATTTCAAAGCAGCTGGAAAAAGTGTGCAAGTTGAAGGGTTGTGAGAAAGTACGTGAATGGTTGCTTAGTATAAAAAACCACATCTATTGGACTGCAGCATCATCAAGCAGTGGACCTGAAAGAGTGGCCAAATGGACGTCTATGCTAAACCATATTCAAAACAAGCACACACATGAAGACAGCAATTTTCCAGCATGTCTACATGGAACAAGCAGAAGTCGAGGCACAAAAAAGTGGATAGCTGCTGGTATGTGGTCTAAATAAGCAATATTTACTTTTATTAAAAACTGTATGCAGACCATGTATTTATTCTATTTAATTTTTTTTGTAAAAAATACTTATCTTTCTATAATAACACTTCCAATAATTTAGGAACACTGCCATATCTCAAGTTGGAGAGAGTTCTCTCCAACAACAGAATTTTGAAGGATGTTTCCAAACTAAGTCCACACTACCAGACTTCTTCAATCGAGATTTTCCACAGTGTAATACTACGGTTTACACCCATAAATGTGGTATTTCCATTTCTGGGAATGTTGTGCAGGTAATGTTAATGTTTTTTTTTTTTTTTTTACAATTTCAATTATACATAAACTGTAGACATTTTATTTTGAAAATGTTTTTTTTTTTTTTTTGCTTTCAGACTATACCTGGCTGCACTACATTATAATGTTTTTTTTTTACAATTTCAATTATACATAAACTGTAGACATTTTATGATGAAGCGGTCTTCATATGGAGGAAGCCAAGCGGCTGCGTCTGCCATATGCCCCAGGAGCCTCTGAAAGGGTCCCACTTTTTTATGTCTGATGGCAGACGTACCCATGGTGGGGCAGCAAGATGGAGGAAAGGGACTCGAGAGATGAGCAGGCAGAGGAATTGCCATAGGCGGCGAGGTGGAGGCAGCTGCTGGGCAGGATGTGCCGGATGCCCCCGTCTGCGCTTGGGCAGTAGAAAATTGTTGGACGCGTTTATCTGCCGCATCGCCGACCAGCCCAACCTGAGAAATTGGGGAGACCAGGAACCGAACCTTGTCAGCATTCGCCATATCAACCAGGCTGAGCAAAATATGGGGCTCCTGGACCACTAAGGTGGACATCGTCAGACCGATTGCGCAGGCCACGACACTCGTACCCTGGAGGGTGAAGACGGATGCAGTGCAGTGCTCACCTATGAGCGCACGGTCTGGGCTACCCTCGTGCATTTGTCCATGAGTGCCCTGGCCTGACAGACCTGAAGCAACGCTATGGCATACAGGTGGAGGTGGCTTGCCCAAAGGCTTTGTAAACTCTGCCCATCTAAACGGCCTTAGGGGGGGACGAGAATCCCCCCAAAAGGTAGCGGCCGCCAGACACAGGTGTGTGTCAAGACAGACCGCTCCAATGGAGGGACACCTTGCAGCCCTTCACCATTCCTCCATCAAGGGTAGTGAGGGGGGAAAACTATTCAGGCAGTTTCTGGCAGAGAAAGGAGCCGCTCACCACCTGATAAGCTCTTCATGCATTTCGGAAAAGAAAAGCACTGGGGCAGCGAGCTGAGAACCAGCGCGGCCCGCCCCGAGATACCAATCCTCCAACCAAGACTGAACGGGACATGGTGGAGTTTCCACTCGAGTCCGGCAGCCTCGGCGGCCCGTTTCAGCATAGCTTACATTTCTGGATCTGGCTCTGGCAATGTTACACTACCAGAGGGAGATAACACAGCCGAGTTGTCACCTCCAGAGGCCAGCTCACCCTCCCATGCTGCCATCAACATCTTACCCTTTGGGGGAACCCCATTGAAACAGCTGATCGGTCCATTACAGAGGGACCAGCATGCTCAACAGGAATTCATGCAATGAGAACATGAGCCATCCACATAAGCTGCCTCAGCATGCTGAACATATAAATATATATATGTATTAGAATTAAGTGTGTAATGGCTAATTTTGCATTTACATTTGTTTCTTTTCTTTCATATACGATCTTTATTTTCTTTTATATGTTTTCTTTTATTTCATTAACATGTGATAGATGTGTGTGTAACTTTTACTAACGTTGGAGAAGATGTATTCATGAGCATTTAAAGGGAAATATTCATATCATCTAACATATACTCATAAGCATTTAAAGGAAGATGTTCATGTAATCCAAAGGACATTATTAAAGATATAACAAGCTGTTAGAAATGCATAAGTTAGAGTAAGCTTAAGGTATAACTAAACTGTTAGAAATGCATAAGTAATGTAAGCTTAGTGTGAGGACATATTGTTCTGTGTTTAACAAAGGAACAAGCAGCATGGAAACATTTTAAAGGGTTAGTTCACCCAAAAATGAAAATTAAGTCATTAATTACTCACCCCCATGCTGTACCAACCCCGTAAGACCTTCGTTCGTCTTCGGAACACAAATGAAGATATTTTTGATTAAATTTGAGAGCTGTATAACTACCACATTGGCTCCTAAGGGACTGCCTCTTGACGGCCCAGAAAGTCAATGAAGAAAATGTTTAAATATCCCAAGTGACTACCGTGGCTCAACTATAGTGGCTCAACTATATGTTTATCAAGCGACGCGAATACTTTTTGTGCGAAAAAACAAACAAAAATAACGAGTTTATTCGACTATTTCTTTTCTTCCTTTTGGGCCAGAAACGAGACTTCCTTAGATTTCCACGACGCATGCGCGAGAATTGCGATCTGCTTACACCAGCTTACACTACTTCAGATCGCAATTCTCGCGCATGCGTCGTGGAAATCTAAGGAAGTCTCGTTTCTGGCCTACAAGGAAGAAAAGAAATAGTCGAATAAACTCGTTATTTTTGTTTGTTTTTTCGCACAAAAAGTATTCGCGTCGCTTGATAAACATATAGTTGAGCCACGGTAGTCACTTGGGATATTTAAACATTTTCTTCATTGACTTTCTGGGCCGTCAAGAGGCAGTCCCTTAGGCAGCCAATGTGGTAGTTATACAGCTCTCAAATTTAATCAAAAATATCTTCATTTGTGTTCCGAAGACGAACGAAGGTCTTACGGGGTTGGTACAGCATGGGGGTGAGTAATTAATGACTTAATTTTCATTTTTGGGTGAACTAACCCTTTAGTAGCTCATTGTATCTCAAGTGTGAATTATATTTGTGCAGGGTTTTGATCAAACAAAAGATAAAGCAGAAAGGTGTGAGGTCGAACAGTACTTGCAACCAAGAGATAAATTGGGGTGTGAAGTCAAGCAAGATTATTAAGTGATTTGTAGACAAGCAATAGAATTTTGTATTCAATTCTAAACTGAACCAGTAACCAATGTAGGGATTTCAGGAGGGGTGTAACATGCTCAAACTTTTTACATCCCTTCAGGAATCTCGCTGCTGCGTTTTGAACGACTTGTAGACGTGTAATTTGAGTCTTAGCCACACCATAATATAGAGAGTTGCAGTAGTCCAGCCTCGATGTTATAAAGGCATGGACAGCAACCTCTAAAGAGGCAGTAGAGAGAAAAGATTTAATTTTAGAGAGAGAGCGTAAGTAGAAAAAGCTAGAGCTCACTACAGAGGCAATTTGCTTGTCAAATTTCAGACTATTGTCGATCATCACACCTAAATTACGCACTTGAGATGAGGTACTCAAATTTAAAGATTCGAAATTTTGTAAGTTTTGTCTATTTGTTTCGGAGGGGCTAAAAACAATGGCTTCTGTTTTATCTGAATTCAAAAACAGGAAACTATTTGAGAGCCATGCTTTTACGTCGTCCAGACACGTGGATAAGCAACTACGAGCATGCTCATTATCAGAGGTCAGAGGCAGATAGATTTGCATATCATCGGCATAGCAATGAAAAGAGACATTATGTTTTCTAAAGATAGATCCCAAGGGAAGCAGATAGAGAGAGAAAAGAGTAGGTGCCAGAACAGACCCCTGCGGCGCACCACAGGTTAGCTTGCGCGATGAAGAATAGTTGAGACAACAGTAGTTGACAGTAGTCAACAGTAGTTGAGAGCTCAAAGCTCGCGATCACCGCTGCACTCGCGCTGTCTCTTTCAGTCGATAACATCTGAAGTAGTCGACGGGCGACTGAATACGGATCGCGTCAGAGAGCAAATGTTCTTCAAGTACTATTGAACGAGCCAAATGGAATTGGCGTGCGTAATTTCATTACCATTTTCTAAACTATAGAGAAAAAAACTGTGATAATGTGAGAAATGTTGAAGGTGTCTGAATAAATTTTGGTTTGAAATTATAAGATTAGAGCTACATTTGATAAGCATCTGTGAAACATACTGCAAGTTCTATACATTCTAAATCCTTAAAGGGTTAGTTCACCCAAAAAATAAAATTAAGTCATTAATTACTCACCCCCATGCTTTACCAACCCCGTAAGACCTTCGTTCATCAACGAAATACAAATGAAGATATTGTTGATTAAATTTGAGAGCTGTATCACTACCACATAGGCGCCCTAAAAGATTGAAACTTGATGGCCCAGAAAGTCATTAAAGAAAATGTTTAATATTCCATGTGACTGCAGTGGCTCAACTATAAGTGTATCAAGCAGCATAATAACTTTATTCGACTATTCCTTTTCTTCCTTCTGGGCCTGAGACGAGAGTTAAAGAGATTTCCACAACGCATGCGCGAGAATTGTGTTCTTATTCTACTACTTCTTGTTCAGTTCTCACGCATGCATCATGGCAATCTCTTGAACCTTCATCTCAGGCCTACAAGGAAGAAAAGGAATAGTCGAATAATGTCGTTATTTTTGTTTTGTTTTTTTTGCAAAAAGTATTCTCGTCACTCTATAAACTTATAGTTTAAATACTTATAGTTTATAGAGCCACTGTAGTCACATGGAATATTTAAACATTTTCTTCAATGACTTTCTGGCCCGTCAAGTTTCAATCCCTTAGGGTGCCTATGTAGCAGTGATCCACCTCTCAAATTTAATCAAAAATATCTTCATTTCTGTTCCGAAGATGAACAAAGGTCTTACGGGGTTGGTACAGCATGGGGGTGAGTAATTAGGGCCCAAGCCCTGAAAGGGCGAAGGCCCTATTGTTTTCCTTAGGATTATTATTATTATTAGGGCCCAAGCCCTGAAAGGGCGAAGGCCCTATTGTTTTCCTTAGGATTCTTATTAGGGCCCAAGCCATGAAAGGGCGAAGGCCCTATTGTTTTCCTTCCGATTATTAGGGCCCAAGCCCTGAAAGGGCGAAGGCCCTATTGTTTACCTTAGGATTCTTATTAGGGCCCAAGCCCTGAAAGGGCGTAGGCCCTATTGTTTTCCTTACGATTATTAGGGCCCAAGCCCTGAAAGGGCGAAGGCCCTATTGTTTTCCTTAGGATTCTTAATAGGGCCCAAGCCCTGAAAGGGTGAAGGCCCTATTGTTTTCCTTAGGGTTATTCTTTTCTATTATTATTATTTTTCTTACGACTATTCGGGCACTTTTGGGGCCCTTAACATGCTCGAAAACTCAGATCCCACAGCCATCAGAGCCGGGCTGAAGATGGTACCTGGGCGTGGCAGGGGGGCTAGACAGCGCCCCCTGGAACGGGGTCCGAAAACTTGGTCCATAAATCAAACACGCTTGCATGTAATAATATGAAACTCGGTACACATGTTGATCTCATCGTTTCATATATACTTCACA